AATTTGTTAGAAACAACTTATGTTCTCTTTAAAAATATGATAATTCTATTATTTTTGTTTGATAAAAACCTTAAATTTAAAATTAACTTTAAACGGGACGGGTAGCGGGACGGACAAAGTACTGAATTCTGGAGGAAACAACATATCCTTTCACCATAGATTATTCTCATGATGTCTATTTTATATACTGAGATCTGGTGGAAACAAAATACTGAATTCTGGTGGAAACAACTTGTATTTTATGTATATCTTTTGGTTTGTGCAGATTGCAGTTACTGTGTGAGAACAAAAACTGAAACAGAAATTATAAATTTCTTAATACCTATTTGTTGTTTAATATGTTTTCCTTAATGGCTCAGAATACCAATTGATATTTTCCAGAATGGGTAATATATGAAGTTGTTTCATGGCTGCCACCCAAAATCTGTGAAGGCATTTTACTACTGTAAACAAATCGTATTACAATTTCATTAAATCTCCTATTTTTATTGCTACTCATCTCAGTCGATGTATGGTAAGAAACATGAATGATGATGACAGAAATTATGTTCTCCACATGCCAATGGACCAAATCATAGGTTGCAAAGTATTTATGACATTATGGTTGACTTGAAAGAGGACTAGTGGAGTGGCCTGCACCCTGTGATTTCTTCTTATATGAACCAATTGGTTCGTACAATGATATCGTTTACTATACTAATAGTAAGCTTGAATATTATGGTCGAATATTATATTTGTGGAATCCAATTCTTGAGAAATTTAAATGTATTAAGAGCACTAGTTTCAATATTTTATATGATTCTAGTGACAAACTCCCGTTTAGTATCGAATTTTGGTATGCCAATATAAACAACGATTATAAGTTGCTAAGAATTTTACAAACTTTTAGTACTCTTGACATAAAACAATGTCAAGATAAAGTATTTAGTTTGAAAGCAAGGTCTTGGAAAAGGCTCACTAATGCAGAAGTTCCTCCGTTACACAAAGTCGTGTATCCCCTCAATTGTTAATAGACGTATCAACGATTGGTCCATCCTCGAATCTGGGGTTGGGAATAAGTTTATCTGTTCATTTGATACTCGAACAGAAACATTTCAACAGGTGAAGTTACCACTTTATAAAGAGCCCCTTAAAAACTCTAATCTTCCAGGTCTTATGGTTTACGGGGAGTTTATTGCTCTCGTTGTTACATCTCATGGCTTTGGAGCCGATTGGAGGGTATGGGTAATGAAGGAATTCGGGTTGGTTGAAACATGGCAAAATATGTTTATTGTGCGGATTTCGAAACGACCTTTAGAGGTTAGGTTTGCCAAGAAGGAAAATATCATTTTTTTGAGTAATGAATTAGTATGTATCTTTAGAAAGCAGCAGACTAAATTTCTTAGAGAGGATTATTGCTCTGATTTCTGGGTTGATTATAGTGAAACAATTTCTTTTCTTGGTGATGAAGATTAATTACTAGAATGGGAAAGGTATCCTCATGCAGAAAATGTCTCGTT